AACCATGATATTTGACAGTCATTGTCCTGCGTATGAGTTGATCACTCACTGCCAGGGAGGAAGTGGCATTTGGAACTGCTTGTGGCTTATCAGCCCGAAAGAATGCCAATGTTACATCACAGCATTCGGAAGTGTTTAGAATGAGAGACCAGATCGATGACTTCAGCACAAACTCATCCGGACCAGTCTGATGAGTAGATGTCTCAACGGTTGGAGGAGATACACATCCCATAACCACATCATCTGCATACTTGCATCCAATGAAGTTGAGCAGTATGGAACGATCTTCGATATATAAAATGAAAACCGTAGGGGAGAGAGGATCGCTACTTGTAAAACACCACGACAGAACCAAAATGTAGAGAATTTCTTCCGTTAAGCTGGCTGAAGTGCATACCATTTGTAAGATAGCTTGTGACCACGCTGCACACATTTGTACTTACCCCCCTCTTGAGCAGCTGGTTGAGTAGGGCTGATCTATTGACGCTCCCAAAAGCATCAGAATAGTTGTCAAACAGCAGGCGCACTGCTCTGCATTTTTCACCCAGTGTACATGATACCGAGTTTACAAGGTACCATACAGCATCCGGTGTGGAGCGGTTGGGTTTGTAAGCAAACCGGTCTGCCTGGTTGCGCCTAGAGATACGAAGCACAAGTACGTTCTCAAAGACTTTCAACATCACCGACGTACATGCAATCGGGCGATAGATTTGAGATTTCTTCCTGGGCACAGGCGTTGTCCTTACAGGTTTCCACTCCACTCTGCCACTCATAAGACGACGGTTGAATAGAGTACCAAATTTAAGGTTTCATTTTCTCCTACTGCATCTCACTGCAATTCTATGCTACCGTACCTGTCCCGCTTGCTTGTTGTCTGTTGTGTCGCCGCTGACGCCTTCACCCCATGACCGCAAGAAGAAGTCCAAGACGAGCCAGAAGGAGACTTGTATACATGAAATCACAGTTGCTTATATAGTTTGAAGGAAAAATGAAGGGAAGCTACTAAAGTACACTTGAGCCAACCAACTGAAGGAAAAACGTCAAATGCAACGGCGAATAAGCAACCGTGTACTCAAGAGCGAATCGCGTGTGTTCTTAAAAATAGCATCATTGGACTCCAAGCGTAAAGCGAACGTCCATTTACAGTGACGGGTACTGGCCAATCAGAATGACGAAATGAAACGTTTAAACAAAAGTCACGAAACAACCGCGAATAAGGAATGCAGACCCGAAAGTTGAATACTAGTACAATAATTGTGTGACACTAAATATTCCTATAACATAACCAAGTAGAATAGTGATGAGAAGAAAAAACCAATAGAATATGTTCTTGCAAATGGCGCTGCTGAGAAGGACATGACGATGAGCGTCCACTAACAATGACGTGGATATACCACTCGGGCTAACCCAGTAGAGCGTTTAAACAACAGTCAAGAATTAGAAAATAGGTAGAGTAAAGAATAACTATCAAGCTCGTTCACAATAAATGAGTGTCTAATAGCTGTTCTCCTAATATTGACCCTACCAAAACTATCAGTATGATACGAAATTATTTGCTCGAATGATATGTGTTGACATTTTTACGCGCTTTATTTTTTCTATAACAATAATTTCATATAAACATGACCATCCTCAGTGATAGTGTAACATGCTGAAAATGCACCTACCCGGGTGCATAAAGTCTACTTTGACTTGACTTGTTAAGGGTACCGCTAGCTAATCCGCCCACTCTCTTTTAGAGTGAGTGGGGAAAACACATCATGTTCATCAGCCTTAGTAATCTTCAACTTTTTGAGTTCCCTGTGAACAACCAAGTGACTGCGGGACCAGTGCTGGGGAAAGTGAGCAGGTAACACGTATCCTGTGGGGAAGAACGAAACTGGGCATTACCCAGACGCTGTGGGGTACTTTTGCCACACAGCTGCTTTAGAAACCTCCAAAGGTCGCGCTAGTTGTGATTACCTGACACAGTTTTAAGCTACAAACTACTCAATCGCTTTACCTCTGATTTTATTTCCGACATTTTGGATGCATAGCCGCCTAAGTTGCTTCAATAGGGATGAAGAGAATCTGTCCATACATATATAGATACTTTCAACGGGGCGGCATAGATCAAGGCAGAGGTTACTATATTTTGTAAGATGTTCCCACTCCAACAATATATTTTTTGCTTGAAAACTGAAATTCCAGCTGAAATCAGCGTCGCATGGAGTTTTGCGATATTTTCTTTTGAACAGTCTCGTCGTCTGATGGTCTTGAAGGGATTTTTTGTTATACGATTTTGGTCTTGCTGTAAATAATTGGGCATATCTTCAGAACACTTTGGTATGGGTTACCGAGAGGAGCTCGCTTTAAAGTGGAAAACAAATGAGTTTTGTTTGTGAAAACAAAATCCCATTGCGCATCGAATCTGGTTTCGAAACATACCGTACATTTTAGACTCAGTGTCTCGATGAACGTCGTACCACATTTGTTAAAGACACCGGCAACGATACAGACAGAGCACTCAATTTTAAGCAGTGACGCTGATGAGAAATGATCCACAAAATGTTTTGGCTGTCGATACCGTGTCGAGGACCATGTAGATGTTTCTGATGACGACGGAAAGAAATCCACTCAGCAATTACGGTTTACACTCGATTAGATGACAGCAAATTTTTGATATTTAGTTTGTAGAGAACAAGATAGTCGATTTACACCATGATTGCTTCACATAAGTGACAACGCCTTCTCTGCAATTCTGCGGCTTTCCAGGGCAATCGGATTTCACGATGCGATATCCATCGAGTTGAATAACCTCATGTTCAGCATCAGGATGTAACCAAATTTCTTGTAGCATTACAATACCTGCATTTGCATATTTATTACGCTTCATAGTGGCACTGAGTTCGACAAGTTTACCAAGTCGAAGCCGCGCATTGCTAGAGCTAATTAGCGAAGTTTGTGAAGCTCTTCTCAGCATTTCTGCGACCCCACCTAGAATATTGCGTCCAGGCCTGTCCACCATGCCTTGTCCGGGACAAAATGGCACTAGAATGGGTGTTGCGTGTCGGTACTAGGTTGGTCAATGGATTACGAGGGCAAACGTACCCCGAACGCCTACTTAGTTTGGGGATGCAGTCAATGCACTATCGAAGAATTAGAGGGGACCTAATCCTAACCTACCGTATTTTGACTGAGAAAGTTGGCTCTGATTTGTCCATGCTATTTAGTCCTGCTAGATTATCTGGTCTCCGCGGGCATTGTATGAAGCTGGACAAACCGCGGTCCGATCGAGTTAGAGCGGAGACACGCTTATCGCGTCGAGTCATCGAACGCTGGAACCTGCTTCCAGAAAATGTTGTCAAGGAAGCTACGGTTAAGGGGTTTGAGTGTCAACTAGATGCTCTTGCGTGGCAACACGAAACCTTTCCGTTTTCCTGACAAATTCCCATCTTCATACTTCGATTCTATTTTCTTTACTTTTCCTCGCCATTGGTATTATTCTCTTCTTTTAACTGATTTCCCCTACTCTCTTACCTTCGATTCTTCTTCCTCTCTTACTTACTTCACGTAACTGACATAGCTGGGACAGCTAATGTTAGGAACGTGGGCATTAAATTGGTGGACCAGGGTGTTTTTCGGGTGTTTTCGTTTTAGACCCATCAAGAAGTCGGAGCACCCCTATCAACTCCTGGATCGACGACCCGCTCAAGAAGGAACACTTATGGGATTCATCCTATCGTTCCAGTCCCACTTGAACTTGAACTTGCGCTTTATTAATTGGACCGCGTCTGAGTCCGGCTTGACAGCCAACACGGTGTTTTCTTCCTTTACCAAACCGCTGTTTTAAAGTTCGTTTGGTGGTACCTCTTTGTGACGGCCCGTAGTCTTAAGGATCATCAGCCTGCCTTTTAACCTGAGAGCGCGGATTCGAGCCTGCGTAGAGCCCGGGCGATCATCGCAGTATCCTTAGTCCACATGCGATTGGTGGTGGTTGCGCGGCAGCGAAGCGTCGGTACTACATGCCGGCATACTGTTGATGCCTTTCTCTTCCTTTTTGGGACTTTGTGACCGCATGCGACAGAAGGCGCATTTCTCGCAGTGTCTTTGAACAATTTCAAAAAGCAGGATAACATCGATGACTTCATAATGATTCAGATGAACAGATATTCGAGAATAGCAGGACAAAATTGATAAATCCACAGTAGAGAGTGTAAAATGTAGTATTCCAAGGAGAAAACTTTAACAACCGATTTGAAGACCCCGCCACCCTGAGTTAAGTGAAAGTTCCAGTGTAACGCGCTATGTGATATATGACCAGTCACTGGTAGGTGAACCCCCTTCAATATTTCCCATCTGTTACCAGATATTAAAACTCCGCGAGCACCGTTGGTCGAACGCGGCCCTTCTCGTTGATGTGGTGCCTACTTTTCCCCAAATGTCTACGTTATGCGCCTTGTCTTTGTAGACAATCTAAACTCTGGTCATCCACACGAGCTGTAGGGAAGATTTTAAGAAGATTCGTCCCACCGAGACTCAGTATCTCACTCCCCACACATCCAGGGAAGCCCTAGACGGCCATTTCGCCCTATTGGGACTCGTCAGTAACGCGCACCCGCCGGATTCGAACCCAATACTTTTACACTTGCGAGCCAGCGACTCTTGCCACTGCACCATGGAAGACGGTGCCGGACCGCCATGACTGATATCTACCTGCAATATAGCTCGGTTCATCCATCACTATCATGCATGGTATGGGCATACAGATGATATGGCTGGTCCCCAGAGCCACGACTAACTTTCGCAAGCCACCACTAGTCAAGATGGCGTGTAAGCTGCTAAGGCGATCACCTGTTATTAGAGAATGGTAAGGGGATTTATTGTGTGTAGGAAGCTGTGCATATGTTATTGGTGCGTCTGTCTGTGTGACCTGTTTCTGTGCCGTTATCCCGCGTCCTTGATCGAAAACCTCCATTCCGCTCCTTACATCTACGTTGTTCGTCTGCTCTCTTTTCCAGCTATCTCTTCTCCATTTCCGGTGCTTTGGTCATTTTAAATGTGGTCCCATGCTACGCTTTGGATGGTCAGTGGATCCTCCATGCCCTCATCGATTTGTGCCTATCAGGTTTGCTTCCCTGCCGACGCAAACGTCTTGCTGTGTTTCATGTTGTCCTCTATGCTGGCACGCTCCTCTTGTCCGTCAACGTGGCTCTCGCCTTGTGGTGCTTCGGTCTCAACGCCAACCTGGTTTCTGTGCAGTCATCTCAGACACCATCGTCGCCGCTACCGCAAGGTGGCACTCCTATTGTTCATTAACCTTGTGATTTGCTTGCACGATTTGGTTTGCTCGTGTGTTGCACCTGTTTTCTCCACCCGTCCCTCCCACTGTGATACACACGCATCTTTCTTTCTTTCTTCATTACACACTGGCACGGTTTGCAGGCGCATCGAATGTCTGCACACCTTTCATGCGCATGCTTTCTGTTTCGCTGCTGTCCATCTATCTTCTCCTTTTTTGTATTTTCCTATACGAGAGAAAAAGTGATTAGTGATTATGTCTCGGTGCGAATCTGTGAGTTTTGATCAACAATGCATGTTATGGAACTGATCTTTTCACGTTCATCATCGCTCCAGTGTGTGATCAGCCACCATTCTACCCGTTATCCCATTGTCGATCGTGATCCGCTCGCGCTGAATGCACCGTTTTACGGATCGCATATCCCACTGTTTTTAAAGTAATCAATACTGCATTCTTCCATCTAAGTCGTCATCATCATTACGCACATTAGCTATAGGTAAAAAACACAAACCAACCATTGTGCCGCAATACAAAAGATAAGATATACAAAAATGCGAGATACTAAACATTATAGACTACGAAAAGCGGATAACATATGGCTCAAGACAGACATCGTGTTGGAGATAGAAGATAGGCGGGGTGGAGAGGGACGAAGAAACTCACAGCAGAAACGCCACTAAGGTCGAGTTCTTGCCACGTCAACTAGCGTATCCGAGCAGAAGTGTTCATCATTCTTCGGTCCCCAGCCCGGAAGTCGGGAAACACCAACCGACGCCAAGTTCGAAGTGAGGAAGTTCATTCCTGAAGTGGTTGTCCATCGCTTAAATTGACGGTTGGCTATTGCTCGGTACTCGAGATTGCTGGCCTCCATAGGAAAAAGAAACAACCGGTTCCGGACGAGCAGAGAGGAAGCGAGATGTATTGGCTGATCACACCGTCCAATATAAAGGTCAAATGGAACATTCGTGAACAGTATATAAGGCTTGAGTGGAGACATCTGGAAGGGTCAACTTACGACCCATTATGCAATGCCTATATCGTGCTGATTGGCCGATTCATCCAGTTACGTATTCGTCCAATCCATGTCGGCGAGTTTTGGCTCACCGACTATTATTTCGCTCCGTATTGGCGATTTGGCCGCTTGCCCAGAGATTTCCTTCGTAACTCTTCTCCGCTTTGAGTCATATGGTAAGATTTCAGCTTGGGGTTTGCTATAACTGCCTCTTGGTTACGCCACGCTCTGACGATCTGGTGTCAACTCCCCTAGTCGGCCGAACGAATGTGGCTTGGCATTAATTTACACAGGACAAAGTAACGGACAAAATTCGAACTTGTACGATCCGTGAGAGTTAGGCGTAACACGGTTATTACGCGCGAGTTCATCGGGCTTCTAAACCGAACGCAATTTCACACGCAGCTATCTAACCCCAGAGAACAAGGCAAAAAGACGCGCCTTTCGCGTAGGCACTTTTACCGACCAGGCTCAAGGCGATTACAGCGCAGTCCAGCTTTTTTATACCTCGATGGCGCCAATGACTTGCGTAAGTAAACCTTGGAAGCAACTGAATTGATACTATACAAATATGCCAACAGAACATGTTGAAAAGTGAATGTTGGTAGATGCGGAGGCTGGACTGGAAAACTGAATGTTTCTTAGGTAAAAAAAAGCTGAATGTTTTATAATTGAAGGGAGATTGGCCAGAAACAAGAATGTTTCTGAGGTATAAAGGCCAATCGAAACGTGAATGTTTTACGAGTTTGAAGGCTGATCGAAACATGTGCACTTGTCTGAATCGAGTCTCATTGCCTTCCGTGGTTTAATCTTATGATCATTATGGGGCCGTTGGGTCCCCATAACAGGGTTGATCTGCATGGATGACACGAACTTGCACCTGCGCTTTGGGCTGCCAGATTTCGGGGCGTATCTGGAGGCTGATGTGTCAGGGTGCGTTGGGAAAATTCCGATTAACTTGCGTCAACCAGTATGTCCATAGGTGATTTCACTGCTGGTACTTACTGTTGCAGTTGTCTGTCAGTCCCCGCCTCTAATAGCTGATTGGCACGTCTCACTCAACCCGAATACCGTACATCACGTTGCTGCGTTTGTATCGCACACGACCCATAGAATGAGGACGCGGTCTGAGAACAGCAGACAGTTGTTGACGACAAATAGTGCTTACCTCCGTTGGTGGAACTGTTGTAGCTCCGGCGTTGTAGCTTTCTTAAGCCAGCCATTGAGGTGAAACTTGATTACTTATTGTGGAGTAGGATCATGACGTGTCGCTTCTTGCAACAACTCGAACCAGTAACTGGTAAGGCACCGAGAACGTCGGGCACAACTTGATTTACCTGTAGTTCCCCGGAGATTTGGATAAAAACCAAAGCTTCCGGTTCTTGTTGCTCTGTACCAATTAAACGTGATAACGCATCCGCCTGACCAATGTTGTGTGTGGATCGGTACTTGACGACGGAATTGTAACCAAGTAGAACCGTCGCACAACGTTGGAGACGAGTAGCCGTACAGATCGGAATGCCTTTCTTTGACCCAAAAATTGCAACCAATTGTTTGTGGTCGGTAAACAGCGTGAATTTGCGTCCATATAGCATTTTGTGAAATTGCTTGACTGCAAACACTAGCGAATTCTTCATCTGCCCATAGTCGCGTTCCGCTGTAGTGAGTGATCTGGCTGCAAGTTCCACAGCTTTTTCCGAACCATTTGGGGAAATGTAGGATCTGATCGCTCCGATTCCGTAGTCTGACGCGCCAGTAGCAACTATGATCTCCAGCTACGAATTAAAATGTATTAGCAATAGGTCAGAATACGATATAGACTTGACATCATCAAACGCGGCTTGATATTAAGATGACCCAACCCATTTGCGCTTCTTTACCAGAAGGTTATTTAGTGGTCTTCCTAGACGATCATTACGTTCACGAACGACCTGTAGTGACTAATCAACCCCAAGAATGGTCTGAGCATCGTGACATTGTCAGGGTGCGGCATCTGTTTGATGACACTTATGTTGGAAGGATCCGGACGACGACTATCCTTGTCGATGATTAAGTCAAGATACTTTAGGTACTTCGTCCCGGTATTACACTTTTCTGTTTTCAAGTGAAACCCATAGTCACCAACGCTATTGTGGGCTGCTTCCAGTCTTTCCGCCAGCTCTCGGTGGTTTGATCCTTTAGTAATAATGTCGTCCAACTAAGCGGCAACCTGTGATAACTCAGCTAACATCGTATGCATAATTTGCTGAAAGGTCGCCGGAGCTGATTTGAGATCAAATGACAAACGGTTGAACTGCTAAGGACATCGGTGCGTGTTGATCGTCAGCAACTCCTTCGAATCTTCGTCGACTTCATTTTGAAGGTAGGCATCTGATAAGTCTAACTTTGCAAAGTAAACATCACCACTGACTCTTTCAAATTAATCTGGGACTGGCAATGGTTACTGTCGCATTTTTAAAGCAGCACCCAATCCTGTAGAGTAGTCAGCACCGATACGAAAACTATCATTTGTCTTCTTGACGACAACAACAGGTGCAGCCCATGCTGAGTATTTCACAGGTTGGGTGAAGTCGGCGTATTCCGGACGATCAAGTTCGGCGCCGACAGTTTGAAGGACAGGGTATGGTAGTGGTCTTTTGGGTCGGAAGACAGGCTTGGGACCGTCCTTGTGGGTAAGATTCGCTTAGTTTTTCATGCAACGTCTCAAGTCTTCCCGAAATACTGACGGGAATTTCCTTCATAGCTGCTCAATTATATTACAAACAATTAGATTATCTAAAGCAGTTAGTTCCCTACAACAATTTGAAAAGCACGGAAAGAACACGAAGACTGGTAGATGCATGCATTTCGTATTATCTCCTCAATTTCCGATATACAATACAATACAATTTCCGATATACATAGATATAGCTACCAATTCCGACTGAATTACTAAGAGAATCTACTATTGTGCACGGAGAATGTGGGTTTTCACTTCCGGAATACACTATACCGTCAAATTGACGGCGTAGCAATGGGTAGCCCATTAGGTCCTGTGCTCGCTGATTTCTTATGCTGATGGTAGAAAGAAGCATTTCTACGGAAATAGCCCAGGTGCCCTACTACCAACGATATGTTAATGATATCTTGGCTTTCTGTTCGTCGGAGCAGCAGCTCACACATTTGGTAGAACGGCTGAATGGTGCGCATGCTAACTTACGGGTTACACGCGAAATAGAACAGAACACTTGTCTGCCTTACCTGGACATACTCATAAGTCACAGGGATGGTGGATTGATTAAGTGGTCCATTTACCGCAAATCAACTTGGTCCGGTCAGTACCTGCTCTTCACCAGTGCAGTACAAACAGACAATTGTGAAGACTCTAGTTAGTCGTGCCAGACGAATTTGTTCGGCCGAATGTCAGGACGATGAGCTAGTGTTAGTTACAGCAGCACTAATGGCGAACGGCTAACCTTGATGATTTATCGAGAAACACAGCCAACCGCGAGGACCAAAGGGCTTGGTGCACACGGCAGATAAGAAGAAAGTGTATATCGAGTTGCCTTTCGAAGGTGACTGAGCCACGCTGAAGACAGCTAGGCGTATAATTTCGGCTACACAAGGAAGTTACTATGCTGCACAAGTTGTCGTCATCAACCGAACCCGAAATTTGCCCATGCCTCCAACGAAAGAAGCTCAGTCTATTGGGGCCAACTCACACTGTGTATACCATTTTGTATGTGACTGTGGAAACAGTTACATAGGCAGAACTAATAGAACGCCGACTTCCCGAATGAAGGAACATGTACCAAGATGGGTTCAACGTGAAGTGGCTCAGATTGCCTACCCTCGTCAGATTCCATGTTCGCGCAGACCGCGGGCTTCCTCGATAGGCAAACACCTATTAGACTCGAGTCACCGGTAGAACTGGGCTCAGCGTTTCAACTTGTGTTACGTCACAATAATCCCCGCTTCCTTCAGTTTGCTGAGGCTGTCGCTATAAGCCGGATTGAGCCGGCCTTGTGTGTTCAGAAACAATTAGTTGTCAACCTAAAGCTGCCTTGGACGTAGGTGTGAACTTCCGTCATTCGTTCTGCACCTTAAGCTTGTCTGGTTGCACCCACTGTTAGCTATATCTATGCATATCGGTTATTGTTAATGGTACTGAGGAGACAATACGAAATGCATGCATCTACCAGTCTTTATCTTCTTTCCTTGCTTTTCAAATTAGATTATCGTTTGATTCATTCACGTTCAAAGGAGACCGCGTATGTCCGAGCTGGGGGTGATTGCAGACTTGACTAGATAATGTCGAGCAAGTAGCGCTTCTGGATCTAATCAAGACTAAGCCGATTCAATAACGACAACTCTGTGATGTACGCTATGCCGTTTGCGCGGGCTAAGCCAAAAACCATTTCATAGTGTAGCTCACCAAGGAGCTTAAGCTGACCACCAGAAGCATTG